AGATAGATAGATAGATAGATAGATAGATAGATAGATAGATAGATAGATAGATAGATAGATAGATAGATAGATAGATAGATAGATAGATAAATAAAGATAGATAGATAGATAAGATAGATAAGATAGATAGATATAGGATAGATAGATAGAGAGATAGATAGATAGAGTAAACATTGAGAAATATAATAAAATGTACTGTTGCTCCTGAAGGCCTCAGACTGGGCTCTAACATTTTGCAGGTAAACATCAAAATTCTCTCCAGAGGTTTGTCTGAAACAAGATGTAAAGACAACATCAGGTTTTAACACACAGTAAAGACAACATCAGGTTTTAACACACACACAGCTGGTGTTGAAGTGTCTTGGGTTAAGGGGAAATTATGTTCTAACCACAAAAAGCTCTTAGTAGAACTTTCTGATTGTGGTGTTTCTAAGTCCCCTGATGAACTTTAAGAACTCACTTTTTCTGCTGCGTTTCACTGCCAGAGCTACGTGTTTTCCCTTGTGTCCTCTGGGCAGGCAGCTGCTAACAAAAACAACACAGAGAACTTCCATTTATCAACTGAAGTACGGATCATTTCATTTAGTTTTTTACAATTCTGGTCAAGATTAACATAGAAGAGCAACAGCAGAGAAGCAGTAAAATGTGGAATGAAAAAAAAAACCAATAAATACAAAAAATCTCAGCAGCCATTGATAATATTCATTCAGCATCACAATTTACCTTAACTTGAGTAGATTATAGAAGTATTAATAGTAAAGAAATTTAAAAGCATGAACAAAATTGCATATTTTTATTACTATTATTAGTGACCCATCACATCGAATCAAGGATTAAGTCTGAAAGTTGTATGTGGAGAAATAGGCAGATATAGTGTTTTGATTAAAACACTTGCAAAAATTACAGTTTGTCAAAATATAACAAATAAATGTATTATTAATGTATCATTTCAATGAACGGTCTGAAATATTATCCTAAAATAAATTTTGAAGCACTTTTTTGAGCATAAGCAACAAAAAACACAATTTTGAGGAAAAATGCTTTAAAATGTTGAGTTTTTCCCTGTGAGCTAACAATGTTTTTGTTTCTTTCCAGCTGGGAAATCTCAATATTCAAACACTATTTGAGGTTTCTTTTTAAAAACGACATAAACAATTCTCAATAAAATTACATAAAATTAGTATTTAGACCAAATATTTATGTATTATTGTAACCAACAAGTCAAATTAAATATCTTTCGATGTACTAATGATATCAGGAAGATCTAAGTATCAAAATGTAGCTTTTAAAGCAGGAATCTGAAAATATGTTTAGGTCATTTTGACCAAATTTGATTAATCCTCATTTCGATGTGATGGGTCACGTATGTCAAAAGTCTTCAGCACGTCCCCCCTGCTGACCAGGCGGAGCATGTTCTCTCTGACCAGTGGTGGTCTTGGATATGAACCAAACCGGAGCCCCTACCATCGTCACCTGAAGAGGACTTCCCTCTTGGGTGACTCCCATGGAAAGGGCTGTGTGTCAGCCTCAGAGAGGTTTTTACATGGAGACTCAGCCAGGGAGACTGACCTCTCCTGTGAGGCGCTGTTTAGGAGGAGGCTGACGCTGAGCATCCTGTCTCATCCTCTCACAGGTGTGGAGAAGGTGATGAAGAAAACAAGAGGGGAGACCCTGTCCACATGAGCAGCAGAGTGTTGTCGTGGGCTCATGCTCGGGCAGAAGCAGAAAAACTGGTCTGTCTCCAGACTGTGAGATCATGGCACCTTTTAAAGTTTTCAATCTCAGTCTGTGTGAAAGAAAAACAGCAGGATCCTACAATCTGACTGTAGTGTGAACATGGTGTCTGCAGCGTTACAGAACTCCTCTTTGTTCTCTCGTTTAGAGGAGGAGGGACGGCCGTCCTCTGATGTCCCGGGCCGCTCTAACCCTGAAAATGGCGGTCAGGTTCAGTTCCAGAGGAGGAATGGGTGGGCAGTCCTTGTCTATCAGGCCCTCCACTTTTTGTGATGAGGGCAAAGGTGGTCACGGCTGCCTTAAGCTTCAGCAGATAGGCTGCTGTTCCTGACATGTAGGTTGTCACAGCTGGAAATCAAAGTCAGACTGGATCTAGATGTCTGAAGGTTGCGGGGCTAGCAGCTCTGAAACAACAAGGTCCCTGGTGCTCGCCACTTTCTGGATGATGTCTGGAAGAGCATTGACAAGAGTGTCGATCGCTGGGAGGGGTGTGGTTGCAGACAATGGGATGCCTGGCACATCAGTTCCTCTGCGGCAGGTCTATCTCCGGACCTCCTGCCTGGGAAGGGGGGAGCTAGGCTGCTAACAGAATCCTCGTCAGAGGTGAAATCCTGCCTCATGTCAAAAGAAATGGAGATCCTTGTCCAGCGGGTAGGTGTCAGAAAGCTGGAAACAATCTTCTAGAGCGTAGATGGCCATCTGGTGCATTTTCTCCTAAAGTGGGAGAAGGCCACAGGACGCCTGAAGTGTTGGGGCCTGTTTCCATTTCCATCTTGCAGGCTGAACACAAACAAATCACTCCTCTGGACATGGTGAATTTGTCTTCTGCTCTTTAGCTTTTGAATGCTGAAGAAAAAGGAACTGAACACAGGTCTCAGCGCAGTTTATACAGACCTGGGTGAGGCCCACACAGCAGCTGTACATGTACTGAAGTTTTCAATGCTGCGATGCACGCAAAAGGGATAAACCCACTAGTGATAGCCTTAAAGGGCAAAGTCTAAACAAAATAAAACTACTGAATTTAGAAACTATCTTTCTATTGTTGCTCTTGAGGAAATTTACTCTCCATGAATTGCCACCTAATGGTGGTGGAGGACATTGCGCACCTGAATGATCCTAGAAGCTATGATGACAAGGGCATTTATCGTTGGTAAACTCTCGCAAAGCAGGTTAGTCCTAGGTGACTGGCAGACAAAGGGTACACAATACAGTCATATGAAAAAGTTTAGGCAGCCTTGTTAATTTTCCTGGTTTACCTTTATAAATCATTGATTGCTTGGATTAAAAATATAAGTTAAATATATCATATAGGGGACAAACACAGTGATATTTGAGAAGTGAAATGAAGTTTATATGATTTACAGAAAGTGTGCAATAATTGGTTAAACAAAATTAGGCAGGTGCATAAATTTGGGCACTGTTTTCATTTTATTGATTTCAAAACCTTTAGAACTGTAGTTACAGGAATTCAAGATTGGTTTGGTAAGTTCAGTGACCTTTGACCTCCATACA